AGTATGTTTACTCCTTGGAAGGAAAGTTATGACCAACCTAGATAGCATATTAAAAAGCAGAGACATTACTTTGCCAGCAAAGGTCCATCTAGTCAAGGCTATGGTTTTTCCAGTGGTCATGTATGTATGTGAGAGTCGGACTGTGAAGAAAGCTGAGCACTGAAAAATTGATGCTTTGGAACTGTGGTGTTGGAGAAGATTCTTGAGAGTCTCTTGGACTGCAAAGAGATCCAACCAGTCCATCCTAAGGGAGATCAGTCCTGGGTGTTCATTGGAAGGACTGATGCTGAAGCTGAAACTCCAATACTTTGGCCACCTCATGTGAAGAGTTGACTCATTGGAAAAGACCCTGATGCTGGGAGGGATTGGGGGCAGGAGGAGAAGGGGACGACAGAGGATGAGATGGCTGGATGGCATCACCGACTTGGACATGAGTTTGAGTAAACTCCGGGAGTTGGTGATGGACAGGGAGGCCTGGCATGCTGCGATTCACGGGGTTGCAAAGAGTCGGACACGACTGAGCAACTGAACTAAACTGAACTGAACTATATATATATATATATATTATATATATATATACTTGGAAATCAGCTAATGGGACTATGGTTCCACATCTCAGGTCCCTGGACAATGGCTGGGGCTATCTGCCTTCTGGGAAGGAGCTGGAATATAACTTCTGATAGCAATTGCCATGATGATGACAAGCTTGTGTGTAACTGACTCATGTTTAATTCTCTCCCTGGGTCCGAGTTCTTCAGGAGCCCACAGCACCTCCATCAGTGGCTCTCAGACTTGGAAATGCCTCATATTCCAGGCCTGGTCAGCTCCCCCTCTGCTCACGTGCTTAGGTTTAGTCTTTCAAATGAGCTTGCTAGTCTGATCCCATCTTCATGAAAGGTAACACCAACAAAGGTGACACTGTTCCTCTTGGCCACACCCTTTAGTTTCTAAACTCTACCTAGAGAAAAGTCTTTTAATCTCTCTCCAAGTCAGTGGAAAACAATATATCCATATTTTAGGCTGTCTTCAGTCATTTACAGGGTTGCTGTAGGAACACCCAGCTCTAGGCTGCCCTACCCCCACCCTCACTTCTCACTGTGATTTTGACCTGATCTCCATCAGAGAAGCCATGACTTAAACCTGGAGGACCAACCATATCCCCAGGAGACAGCCCTTGCTCCCTGAATAGGCTCCTGATCTGCTATTATTCCAACATAACACTGGTGCAATAACTTGATACATGGAGAAGTTTAGTTTGTTTTCTTTGGGACAGCACCACCCCTCCTGTGAAGCTGCTTTATTTCTAGGCCATTTGAATAGTTTTAATATGGACAAAGAGTCCCCCAAAGATGATGCTTCCAGGTTTTCCTTTTTCTGTGCAGTGTTAGGAACAGATTAATCCCTTCCTTGACACAGCCGGGGCCACAACTGCCAGTATTAATAAAACTCGATCAATGTTTATGGTGTGAATCCAGGAATGTGTTTTGACTTCCCCTTTGACCTAATTATTTCTCTTTCCTGAAATGAAAATCTGATTCAATCAATCTGGAGAAAGACAAATTTAGGATTAACCAGCTGGATATTCTGGAATCTAACGTGGTATCACTTTCCAATCAGAAGTTACTTGTTGGAAGGGGAAAGAAATGATTAGAAAGTCCTCTAAAAGCCTCAGGCATCAAAGAAGGAATATAGAATCATTGCCTGGGTTTTACAAGGCATCTGAGGTCTGAGCACCCTGCCAACCACATCAGAGCTGGTGTGTTACTGACACTCACATACTTTGTAGTTTTTTTATTTTACTAGTTAGACTTTCTAAACAGAAACTTAGAAGCATTCCATATGCTATTTTTAAAGTCTCTCCCAGGTGTCTCAGTGGTAAAGAGACAGCCTGCCAATGCAGGAGACAAAGGTTCAATCCCTGGGTCAGGAAGATCCCCTGGAATAGGAAATGGCAACCCACTCCAGTATTCTTTCCTGGGAAATCCCATTGCCAGAGGAGCCTGATGGGCTTCAGTCCGTGAGGTCACAAAAGAACCTGACACAACTTATTGACTGAAACAAAAACAACTGGGTATGAAGTGTTCCTTTCACTGAACTCCTTTCCAAAGCAGTAATATTTCAGGAAGGAAAGTGGGGATGCAGGAGAATGATCAGATCCCAGGTCACATAAGAGTCTCTGGGAAGGAGTCAAAACATGTGGGTTTTGGTGTCATGCAGGAAAGAATTCAAGAATGAGCATTAGTAAAGAGAAAGAAGGCTTATAAAGGCCCACACTCCATAGAGAGAGAGTGGACCATCATGGAAAGCAAGAGAGGCACCAGGTTTGTCAATTTTTATAGGGGCGGGTAATTTTATAGGCTAATGAGTGGGAGGAGTATTCCAGCTATCTTGGGGCAATAAAATATTAGTCAATCAGTTGTGTCTGACTCTTTGCAACCCAATGGACTATAGTCTGCCAGGCTCCTCTGTCCATGCAATTCTCCAGGCAAGAACACTTGAGTGGATAGCCATTCCTTTCTCCAGGGGATCTTCCTAACCCAGAGATTGAACCCAGGTCTCCTTCATTGTGAGCAGATTCTTTTACCATCTGAGCCACCAAGGAAGCCCCTTTCATCTTGGGGAAGGGATGGGGATTTCTGGGAATTGGACCACTGTCCACTTTTTGACCATTAATGTTCATTCTTGGACCCATCATGGCAGCTGGGTTGTGCTACAATGAGCTATACTGAGGATCAAGGGCAAGTGCAACTTGAGTCCATCATCCTGGACCTGGTTCTTACTAATCAGTTTATGTCCTGTCCTTCTTTTAAAGGTTGTACCTTGCCCCTTTCCTATCTCAGTAATTCTTATATATGTAAAGAAAGAATGTGTAAAAAGGTACATCTCAAAGCTTTCCAGGTCCCACATCTTAATAACACTCTTAGTTACATGGCTTCTGCAATGTCTCATTTTAAATTTGTAAAGTGAAAACCATCTTTTCATTCAATTTGTGGTACTGATCTCAACTTTTGGAAAGGAACCCCTTCAGAGACGATACTGCTTTCTTTTAGTCACTCCTTTTAATTTCTAAACACAACCCAGAGAAAAGTCTTCTAAATTTCCTTCTTCCCCAAGAGAAGGGGAAAAAAACCCTACATTTTACACTATTTGCGTTACTCACATTGTCCCTCTAGGGACACTCAGCTCCAACTACCCAGCCCTCACTCTGACCTCTCAAATGTGATTTTGACCTGATGTCTTCGGAGAGGTCCTGACCTAAGACTGGAAAACCAATCACATCCCCAAAGGACTTCCCTTTACTTCCTGAGTAGATTTCTGATCTACACTTGTCAAACATAACAACTACAGGACAAGTGACAGAGGTGGATACTTTTATTTTGTTTCCTTCAGGAACAACACTACTGTCTTCATAAAGCAATTTTAATACTGGGAGATTTTGATAATTTTTTTTATGGCTGAAGATCCCCAAATAATGGTGCTTCAATGTTTTGTTTTTTCTGTCACAAAGGGATAACCCCTTTCCTGTCTCGCACCCAGGACTATTACTATTCATATTAGTAAAGCCAAATCAATATTTGTGGGTGAGTCAAGAAATCCAATACCCCTCCCTCATTCTTTATCCTTCCTGAATGAAATCTGATTCAATCAATTCCTCTGAAGGTAACAAAGATGCAATCAGGATTAACCCAGTAGACAGTCTGAAATCTAATCAGGCATCACTTTCTGATTGGCAGTTAGTTGTTGAAAAGAAGGAAGATGTTATTAGAAAGGTCTACATAATAAGCCTTAGACACCAAAGAGATGCAGAATCTTCAGGATTCCAGAGTCACCACTGGGGTTCTCAAGTCTGAGTTGCGAGCAGCCTGCCAACCACAACAGAGCTGCTAATTTACAGATGCAACTAAAGACACCCTCATTGTACCCATGGTCAACTGGTCTTGAATGGTGGCAGGCACCTCAGGATGAAAGGAGAGATTAATTTTAAAATCTGCTCACTGGGGACTTCCCTGGGGATCCTGAAATTGGACCACTGCAGGGAGCGCAGGCTCATTTCTGGTCTGGGAACTAAGACACCCCATGCCATGCTGCCAAAATTGAAAAATAGAAATACATGAATAAAAATTATTTATTTTCATATATACTGATTTAAGATTTTTGTTTTACCTTGAATATAGTTTTGACTTAATCCCAAATGTTTGATTGGTGCTTTTTAAATGTCTTAACAAAGCAGATGCTCTTTCTAGTGAAAAACATCTTTGGAATTTCATTTCTTTTTTAAAATTTTTTCTCTTCTTTTTTGAAATTTTATTTCTTGAAATTTAAAACGTTTAGCTTGAGCACAAACAGCATTTATTCCAGGGATATCTCTTACCCTTTATCAGCTCAGTGAACTGTGGGAACTGAGGATAAAGGCTATATTGGGCCACATGATGCTCCTATTCCCGTAGTCTTAAGGCTCTAAGTGATATATTAAAAAATTTCCCCTCAAAAGAGATGAAGCTCAGCCTTTAGCACATGGTACCCACTTCCCAGTGATACATGATTAAGCAAAGCAGTGGATGGAAATGGACGGATGGTGGTTGGGTTTCTCCCTTCTTGCTACTTGTAAGATCATACTCTAGTGCCCATAGGGGTAGAGCTATGGCTTTGTGCCCACTGAGTTCAGGGTGTAATTGGGACTAACAGGCACTTGCACTACTGCCAAGGCCGTGGCCTTGGTCTGAGAAGATTCCTCTGAGGAGTGGGGACACAGAGGTATGTTCTTGCTTGGCCTGAGAAGGATGCCTTGTTCTCTGGAAGTTTCCACAGGATTTCTTTTGTAGCAGAGTCAGATCAGTATGAGTCTTTGGGCCCCACCCAGACTCCTGGACCTGGCAGCTATGAGCCTGCTAAGGAATGAGGACTTGGCCATGAGTGCTTTGGAGTTTCTGCCCATTGAGCTCTTCCCCTCACTCTTCATGGAAGCCTTCTAGGGGAGTCACAGTAAGACCCTGAAGACCATGGTGCATACCTGGCCTTTCGTCCGCCTGCCTCTGGGAGGCCTGATGGAGCTGCCTCATCTGATAACCTTACAAGCGGTACTGGATGGACTTGATGTCCTGCTTGCCCAGAAGGAGTGCCCCAGGTGAGTCTAATTCAGGTAGCCTGGAAGGTTACTAGACATCCAGAAGAGACAGCTGGGGTCATAGCGTGAATGGTCAAGAGATGGACCAGAGGCTTCTGATGATGTCAATGAAGAATTTCAGAGGCCTTGACCACTGCTGAGCCCTCTTTGAGAAATGCCTTCTGGAAGTGTAGGAGTGTCTAAGATGCAGGGAAACCTGAAAGAACATGTCCCAGCCTCTTCCCAAGAATTCTTAAGGATTGTAGAAGTAGAAAATCAGGAAGGATGATAGGGGCAAAGGAGATAGAGGAAAGTGAGGCAGTATCCCTACTGAAGAGGAAGAGGGCAAGGCAGCAGGTAATGTCAGGAATCTAAAGTAAAAACTCAGGTAAGAAGTTGAAGTCTTAGTGTTGCCTATATTCTGAGACTGTGGTTTCATTCAGTTTGGATTTTAAACCATTGCTACCCATCTGCTGTTTCCCCACAGGAGGTGCAAACTGTGGGTGTTGGATTTAAGGAATACCGGCCAGAACTTCTGGAGCATGTGGTCTGGATACATAGAGCACATGTCCTCAAGCTCACTGATGGCACCAGTTCCTGAGGACAGGTCAAGGACAGAGCAGCCCTTGGCTCCCTTGGAGGTGTTTGTAGAGATGAGCCTCAAGGAATGGTCCATGGATGAGTTCCTCACCTACCTCATGATGTGGGCAGAACAGAGAAAAGATTCCATACATCTGTGCTGTAAGAAGCTGAAGATCTTTGGGATGCCTGTGGAAAATACTATGAAGGTCCTGAGTGTGGTGCAGCTGGACTGTATCCAGGATATAGAAGTCAACTAGAACTGACATCTGTCCAGCCTGGCCACATTCACTCCTCTCCTGGGCCAGATGAGTAATGTGCAGAGACTCATACTTTCTGTCTCTGAGGAGCAGGAACAGCATGTTGTTGTCCAGTTTACCTCTCAGTTCCTCAAGCTGCACCACCTCCGGGATCTCTGTCTGGAATCTTCCTTCTTCCTGTCAGTCCACCTGGACCAGATGCTCAGGTGAGGGAGGCACAACTGGTTGAGAAACAGCGAACACAACACTACCATGTCAAGTACACTGTCTTATTTTATGCTCTATCCTGAAGTGTGGTAACACAGAGCTACCAAAATCAAGGCAGAGGAACAAATGGATGGGGACTCTGGAAAGGGATACCAATCTAGGGAGCTATAGACTATGGGACTGGAATCTACCAAAGAACAGTTTGAGGTTTCTACTTTAGGAGGAGATATCTATGTCCAGAAAACATAGGAAAACAAGTGGAAAGGGTTTTGAGGAGGGACCTGAGCATTTCTAAATTTCTCTGCAAGTCGGTGGCCACAGACTTGAGCCTCTCTCAAATTCCCTGTCTCTAAAATTTTTTTTGTGCTTCAGATAAGTTAGTTAATATATGGGAAATTCATGGTTCTGGAGATGATGATAATAGAGCAGAAGCCAAAGGGACAGTAGAAAGTGGCAGATCATCTGCAGATGACACAGGGACATAAATTAGCCCCTGCAGACTGGAAACCTCAGTTGATATTATGGGAAATTACCCAGGTTGTTTTTTTATTCATGTAACCCTGTTACCTCACCCAGCCTGAGATATGAGTGCCTGAGCCCAAGCACAGACAGAAGAAAGCCTGAGATGAAAGTATCTTTTGCCTTCTCTCCCGATACTAAAATTCAGAGATGCCTGCACTTGATTTAGATATGATGTCAGGCTCTCCCTCTGAGCAGGTTCTAGATATTCCATTATGTTCATTCACCCTTATAAGAAAGTAGAGTATGTTACACCCTGCTTGACAGATTAAGAAAGAGAGATTTCAAGGTTCTATGTACTTGACTCAGTCACACAGTGAAGGTGAAAGAAATCAGGCTAAAATGAGACTAGGCATGTTGGATATTGACCTTTATTTGATAGTCAGAATGACCTTGGCCTTTGGAAAATCACTTGTCTCTCCCCTGGAGGTCACCTGCCTCCCCAGTTTCTCAGACCTAATGCCCTTTTATTACAGGTGTCTGGTGAGCCCTTGGATAACCTCGCGATAACTCACTGCCTCCTTACAGAATCAGACTTGACCCACCTATCCCAGTGCCCAAGCATCAGTCAGCTAAAAGGCCTGGATCTGAGTGGTATCATCCTGGCTGACTTTAGTCTTGAGCTCCTTCAAGTTCTGCTGGAGCAAGTTGCAGATACCCTCCAGGAATTGGATTTAAATCAGTGTGAGATCATGGACTCCCATATCGAGGCCATCCTGCCTGCTCTGAACCACTGCTCCCAGCTCAGGTCCCTCAGCCTGTGTGGGAACCCCCTCTCCATGGCTGCCATGGAGAAGCTGCTGCATCACACCTCAGGGCTGCCCAGTTTAAGTCATGAGTTTTACCCAGCCCCTCTGGAGACTTACAGCTCTCAGGCAGTTCTTTCAGAAGAGAGACTTGCCCAGCTTCGAGCTGAGCTTTTGGAGATTCTGAGAGACTTGGGACATCCCAAGACCATCTGGCTTAACGCCATCTTCTTTTCTTCCTATGGCTACGACGACTACTCCCATTTAGAAATTTTTGAATACAACCCTGACTAGGTGGGTGCACCTATCAAAAGCTTTCTTCTGGGCACTTGAAAGCTGAAATCTGTGACACAGGTACATCATAAATGGAAACCAGACCCATGGTTTCAGACATCTGTTCTGTGTGAATGAGAAAAGGAAAAGTGAGCCAGTGAAGGTGCGGAAGGAAATGTTGACCTGGAGAGAGGATGCGACTTTTGGGGATATGTGTCCCACAGAGTTAGAAATGTGAACCAAAATGATTTAGGGGGATTTGAGCTTGAGAAACATAAGTTAAAGTTATCTCTGGTGGATGATTGTAAAGAAATGGTCACAAATAAAAAGAACCCTCGTGTAAACCTACTGCTATCCTGCATGAAGTATCCTGTTTTCTCAGTTTTATATCTTGGGAATTTCCAGATAGTGATAAAATTTAAAAAGGCATGGAGTTGTCTATGACCTGAAACCTTAGTATTCCTGCAAGTTCTTTTTTCTATCTGGGGCATCTCTTACCTCCTTGCTTGTTTCCTTGTCTGTTCATCGGGTTAATACACGCAAAGGGGAACATACTCAGTGGCCAATGAGCCAGTGGAGTGAAGAGCTCTTGCCAGAGTCCTCACTGCTGACACAGGCCATGACCCTGGGCATGAGCAGTCCTCATGGTTCTCCTGGAGGGTCCATAAATCTTAGTTCCTAGCCTTTGTGTGTGCTGAGAAAGGGTTTGACTATATAAGGCAAACCCTTCAGTTCTGGGAGGGGCAGTCCAAACTATGAATAATCTGGAGACTCTGGTCCTCACCAAACCATGCCTGTCATGGCTGGGTAGTGGTCCTTCTTGAATTAATCTAGTTGTGCACATCCAAATTCATTTTAGCAAAATGCTAAAAGCGTACAGGCATTTACCATGGTTTTAGTATTTCTATGCCACATGTAAAAATTTATGTCCTTTAGAGAGTAGGTCATGTCAATGAGAGATTTACACAATTCCCATAACACCTGTTTCCCACCATCAGGAAAGACTAGCATGTTTTGCCATCAGATAATCAGGATGTATAACAAAACATCTGTGGGCATATGTGACCTCCTTGCCTGTGGTAAGACATGGTATAGCCAATAGATTTGTTTTTGTTCTTCAGTTGCTGAGTCATATCCAACTCTTTGCAGCCCCATGAACTGCAGCATGCCAGGCTTCTCCATCCTTTATTATCTCCCAGAGTTTGCTCAAACTCACATCCATTGAGTTGGTGATGCCATCCAACCATCTCATCCTCTGTTATTCCCTTCTCCTCTTGCCCTCGATCTTCCCCAGCATCAGGGTCTTTTCCAATGAGTCAGCTCTTCACATCAGGTGGCCAAATTATTGAGGCTTCAGCTTCAGCATCAATCTTTCCAGTGAATATTCATGGCTGATTTCCTTTAGGATTGACTGATGTGATCTCCCTGCAGTCCAAGGAACTCTCAAGAGTCTTCTCCAACACCACACTTCAAAAGCATCAATTCTTTGGCACTCAGTTTTCTTTATGGTCCAGCTCTCACATTGGTACATGATTTCCCTTCTCCAGGGGATCTTTCTGACCCAGGGATGGAACCTGGGTCTTCTGCATTGCAGGCAGATTCTTTTTCTGAGCCACCAGGGAAGCCAACCAATAGGGGACAATAGATCATTGAGCAACATGGCAGTTGGGGTTGCCCTGCTCAGTCAAAAATCCTCATATAACTTGCAGTCTGCCCTCCATACCCTCATTTCCACATCCTTGCATTCCACCAACTGCAGATCCTGCAGAACTATATTTATTCTTGAAAAAATCTGCGTGTAAATGAATCTGAGCAGTTCAAATTCATGGTTCCAGGGCAATGTGCATATATAGGGATATATTAGAGGAGATTTATTATGGTAACAGGCTTTCATGGTTACTGATGCTGAGAAGTCCCACAATCTGCTGTCTGTAAGCTAGAGAACAAGCAAAGCCAGTGCTATAACTCAGATTGAGGATTAAGACTGAAAACCAGTTAAGCTGATAGTGTTACTCCAAGTCTGAGGCTGAAGACCTGAGAACCAAGGGGACCACTGTTTTAAGTTTCAGAGTATGGAGGCTCAAGACAGAAGCTTCAACGTTCCTGGGTAAGAAGACCCAGGAGAGAAGTTGCCTTCTTGTTTCATTCAGACCCCAAGGACTAGATGATGCCCACCCATGTTGGTGAGAGTAAACCTCTTTACTCAGTCTACTGATTCCAATGTTCTTCTTTATCCAGAAACACTCTACCAAACACACCTAGAATTTAAGGTTTACTAGTGATCTGGGTATCCCTTTGCAAGAACCAATGTCCACACACACAAAAATCTATCCATCTCACTGACCCTAAACAAAGGACACTCATAAGGCCTCCTGCTGAGGCTTCAGGGATTGGTGTAATTGGCTCAGAGGGGGATATGATATAGGGGTGACAGAACCTTAGGCAAGAACCTCAGTTTCTCCATGAAGTGATAATAATGTTGAACACCCACCTTATGGGATATTTGTAGAATCCAATGAGATGATTGCACTTGAGGGCTTAGCACTGGATCCGGCATAGAGTAAAAGTTCAATAAATGGGTCTTTTCTTTCTTTTTCCCTCCTAGTAGACACCCCCAGGACTCTTCTTCCCTCTAGTCTATCCTTTATTGCTTATAAGACCAGGAGAACAAGCCCTGGACCTGAAGTGGGCCTCAGTTCTACATGTGGCCACCCAGATGATGCCACCCAGCTGAAGATATTAAGAAGAGATGGCAAGAAGTTCTTCTGTGTAGAAGAACTATATAAAAAAGATCTTAATGACCTAGATAATCACGATGGTGTGATCACTCACCTAGAGCCAGAAATCCTGTACTGTGAAGTCAAGTGGAACTTAGGACACATCTCTATGAACAAAGCTAGTGGAGGTAATGGAATTCCAGCTGAGTTGTTTCAAATCCTAAAAGATAATGATGTGAAGGTGTTGTACTCAATATGCCAGAAAATTTGGAAAACTCAACAGTGGCCACAGGACTGGAAAAGGTCAGTTTTCATTCCAACCCCAAAGAAAGCAATGCCAAAGAGTGTTCAAACTACCACACAATTGCACTCTTCACATGCTAGCAAGGTCATTCTCAAAATCCTTTAAGCTAGACTTCAACAGTACATGAACTGAGAACTTCCAGATGTCCAAGCTGGATTTAGAGAAGGCAGAGGAACCCGAAATCAAATTGCCAACTTCTATTTGATCATAGAAAAAGCAAGAGAATTCCAGGAAAACACTTACTTCTGTTTCATTGACTGTGCTAAGGCCTTTTACTGTGTGGATCATAACAAACGATGGACAATTCTTAAACAGAAGGGAATACCAGACCACCTGACCTGCATCCTGAGAAATCTGTATGTAGGTCAAGAAGCAACAGTTAGAACTGGACATGGAACAACAGACTGATTCCAAGTTGGGAAAGGAGTACGTCAAGGCTGTACATTGCCACCTTGCTTATTTAACTTACATGCAGAATACATCATGAGAAATGCCAGACTGGATGAAGCACAAACTGAAATCAAGACTGCTGGGAGAAATATCAATAACCTCAGATATGCAGATGATACCACCCTTATGGAAGAAAGTAAAGAGGAATTAAAGAGCCTCTTGATAAAGATGAAAGAGGCAAGTGAGAAAACTGGCTTAACTCAACATTCAAAAAGCTAAGATCATGGTATCCCGTCCCATCACTTCATGACAAATAGATATGGAAACAGTGACAAACTTTATTTCTTGGGCTCCTAAATCACTGTGAATGGTGAAATTAAAAGTCCCTTGCCCTTTGGAAGAAAAGCTATGACTAACTTAGACAGCATATTAAAACGCAGAGACATTACTTTGCCAACAAAGGTCCATCTAGTCAAAGTTATGGTTTTTCCAGTCGTCATGTATGGATGTGAGAGTTGGACCATAAAGAAGGCTGAGCGCTGAAGAATTGATGCTTTTTGTGGTGTTGGAAAAGACTCTTGAGAGTCCCTTGAACTGCAAGTAGACCTAACCAGTCAGTCCTAAAGGAAGTCAACCCTGAATATTCATTGGAAGGCCTGATGCTGAAGCTGAAGTTCCAATAATTTGGCCACCTGATACAAAGAGCCGACTCATTAGAAAAGACTCTGATGCTGGGAAAGATTGAAGGCAGGAGGAGACGGGGATGACAGAGGATGAGATGGTTGGATGGCATCACCAACTCAATGCACATGAGAATGAGCAAGCTCTGGGAGCTGGTGAACAACAGAGAAACCTGGTGTGCTGCAGTCCATGGGGCTGCAAACAGTCAGACATGACTAATGACAGAACAACAACACCCACTCAATGGACGTAAGAAAACTCTGGAAGATAGTGAAGGACAGGGAAGTTTGGCACACTGCAGTCCATGGGGTTGCAAAGAGTCAGACACAACTGAGTGACTGAACAACAATAACTCAGGTGATGCAGTGGTTAAGAATCTGCCTGCCAATGTAGGAGATGCAGGAGATGGGAATTCCCTCTTAGGGTCAGGAAGATCCCCTGGAGTAGAAAATGACAACCTACTCCAGTACCCTTGCCTGAAAAATTCCATGGACAGAGGAACCTGACGGGCTACATCTCACGGGATTGCAAAGAGTGAAGCCCAACTGAACATGCAAGCACAGTGCATCAATGTTTCATGAGTCACTCAAGCTTCTCTAGCAGCCAATGCAGGGAGGGAGAGCAGGGGGCATAGGAGAGACTGGAGGCGTCTCTAGGGATAGACGTTCTGAGCCTCAAGTCTCCTATGCCATCTGCTGGTAGACCAGATCAAAAGATATTAAGCAATTTGGCAGGCAGGACTGTGTAGTTCAGTATTTTTTTTTAATCTGACATTATGTAAATGTTACTTGAGTATAAATATTTGCACTGTGACTTATATATAATATTAAAAATGTAAGTATTCTTTTAAAAGTATAAAGTATATATAGTACTTTTAAAAAATGCATGTTGATTTTTTAAAAATATTTAACTTAGTTTGGAGCCTCAAA